CGCCTGACTTCTCTCCTCGCCGTGATTTCTTTTCTTTTGCCTAACAGGCTTCTTTTTTGGATCCACGGCGCGCTTATGGATGGCGAAATCCGGGCTGATACCTGGCATCTCTTCCACTTCAAAGGCAAAAATGTCCTTGAATTCCTTCAGCAGATTGTGCAAGTCTGCCCCCAGCTTTGCAAAAGCAACCGTCCCAACCTTTACAGTTCGCTCCGGACGTGTGTCATCTAGAGCGATGTCAATGTGTTCACCAGCCGGCTGGGGACGGAGGTCATCTAACCGTTCCCCGGTCAATGATTCCTATTGCTTCTCTTTCTTGACAGTCACCAACTGGTCGACCTTTCTTTTTTTGCCGCTTGCTTGTAGGGCAGACTTAGGTTCCTTGACATCGTCAAAGTCTATTGGTTCCACTCCCTAGCCAACTGCCGTGGGCTTGATGTCCGAGAGATAGCACTCTTGGGTCGTATTCTGGTCTTCACTCAAGGAGCCAACAAAACCATCATCTCTTTCAAATTTCAGCAACATGAGGGATGGAATAATGACGGTCTTGGATTCGTTCAGAGTCGGACAACTTATTATCATGTTATAGGTGGTCAGCTCCTCTATGACCAAGAACTGGACAACCATATTACGCATTTCCCCCTCTCTCCCAGCCGGATGGGTAGATCAATGCGACCTACTAGGTGTACAACTCCACCCCCAAAACCAACCAAGGGGTGTGAGACCTTGTGCATGCTTCCTGGCTTGTACTTCAGCTTGGACAGACAACGCCAGCTAATAATGTCAGACGAGTTGCTTGTGTCAATAAGGATCCGACCAACCTTTTGATTGGCCACCTTACATTCAATGACAATGGGGTCATCATGCGGCCGACAGACTTCGCCACGGTCCTTTTCATAAATGATGACCTCAGGAAAGGTGTCGGCAGACGTTCGACCTTCATCGACTTAGCTGACGTCCATCTGTTTGACATGGTCCTTGGTGCCTTTGATAGTTGGGCCCCCACAGGCAAAGCCGCCTGCAATGGTGCAGATCATGTCCGAATTAGTGTTCGAACCACAATCAGCCTTTACTGACTTTTTTGATGGCTGCTTGGGATCTGTCTTCAGGTCACCTTGGACTTGAAGATTTAGGATTTCAGCAACTCTTTATCAGCCAATCCGTCCAACAACCGCTTCAGGTTATAGAAGTCGTTGGTGTCATGGCCAATATGCTCGTGGAAATGGCAGTACTTGTTTTTGTTCTGGTTTTTAGCCGGACCCTTCATAGCTGCGGGCTTCTCAATAGTTACCCGGTCTTTTATCTCCATGAGGATAAAGTAGCAGTCCTTGCTAAACTCGTACTTGGGGACGTAAGGTTTAAACTCTCTCTTCTTTTTGGACGGCTAATCAGAGTCCTCAACCGCCAAGACTTCTTTTCTTTTCTTTCTCTCTTCAGCTTTTTGAGCCGGCTGATCTTGCTAACTCCCTTTTTGTTTGTCAAACTTCTTTGAGTCCGACTGCTTGTTGGTGGAGCAGAGTTCGGTCGCTTTTATATAAGCTTCCGCCTCCATCAGAGCCTCTTGAAGAGTGGTGATTCTCTTACGGACGAGGTCAAACTTAAAAGTTAACCCGTCTTTCAGACCCTTGAAGAAGTCCGTATAAGCAACATCGTCAGACAGTTCTTGGATCTGGATTCTCACCAGATTGAACCGCCTGATATAAGAACGGAGCCCCTCCCTGTCTCCCTGTTGTACCGCGCCCCAGTCAAGACTTGCCTTTTTGGCAGGTATATTCATGGAGAAGTTAGAGGCAAACAAGAACGCAAGCGTCCTGAAATTATTTATGCACCCAGGCGACAGGTTGCCGAACCACTCTTGAGCAATGCCCTTCAGTGTATTTGGAAAGCATCTAGACCATGCATCATCATCCAACTCCTGTATAAGCCATCAGGTGGTGGTGGTGCCGTCATAGGCTCCAACCAAAACATTCTTAACCTTGGCCGGCTGTGCTGCCTCGGTTAATTCTTTGGAGAACGCAGAAGGTTATTCACCAAGTTTTAGCAGATAGAGCTGCCAGTCCAATGGCTGGACTTGAAATGCCGCCTAACCCCCGAAGAGGGTAGGTTGCTGATATGGTTGAGCAAACGACCTGTATGGTTGTTGGGGCACATACGGGACCGAGCCTATCATTCGAGGACCTATATGGACAGAAGGGTCGCCTCATAGGTTCTCCTGTACAGATTGGGAATACCTCATAGAGGTATTCCTAAAGCTATCTAGCATAGTCAACGTTGAAGCCGAGTCAGACATTTGCTTGTTTCTCTTTTGCTCAATGATAAGTCGAGCATCAAAGTAAGTCTTCTTGCTGGCATCCAGCTCAGTATACTGTATAGGCTTCCTCTTTCCCTGGTCTGGGAAGCGGAATTTAGACCAATCAATAAAAGGCCTGCCCCCTTCCTTTGTATTGGGATGCAGAGTGGGCTACCTGTCTTTCACCGACTTAGCCTTCTCAGAGTGAAAGGGCCTTTTTGCCGACTGACCCTTACTGGGTCCATCCGTTTTCTTGGAGATCAGGTCCTTCATCTCCCCCCTGAAGCTCGTCATAAATTTCATGAACTCTTCTCGGGTGATGTGAGCAGCCTATCCTACCGCCTGGGGCTGGCCGGTTGACTTACCCGGACCCGCCTGATCAACGCCCCGTTCCCTGTTATCCTTGGAACAAATGGGTCTGGTTTTAAGGGATCCATCTTTGGTCGTGTACACTTCGACCTCTGGATCAAAATTTGTATCATGGTTCAAGTGGACCTCTGCTTCTGGACGTTTGTCCTCAGGAGGCAGTACAGTCTCTTGAGAAACCATCTTAAAGGCACTTTCCCCATAGACGGCGCCAAATGTTTCGGGGTTTTTTATGTGTCCTGCGGGAGGGTTATGCCACCAAGATTGGGTCCTCGTTGGCTGTACTTGCAAACAAACGGAAGCTCCAGTTGTGCGGAGTTCCGCCTCTAACGATCAAGTTAGTAAGAGTCGAAGGAGAGTAAAAAGTGCGGAAAATAAAAGTAGATCTTTTCGGAACTCGAGATCAGGTGTTTTCTCTGTTGTAAGAGAATTGATTGTGATGTAACAAGTGAAAGTCTCCCTAAATTGGGGTAAATCTCCCTATTTATAGGGTCATGGGGATCAGTGTTCCCCTTTTCTAGGTCATCAACCTAGGTAAATGGGTTGCGCTGTTTTTGCGGCGTTCTAGGGATTTAGGCCTTTGAAAGCCTCTTTTCTCCCTGATGATTGGGGAATGCCATGTGTCAACTGGTGATTGATCCTTTCTGGACCTTTCCTGGGGTGACACGTGTCCCCTTCTGATTAGGCCACGTGGCCTGGATATTTTTACCCAAATCACTAATGACATCATGTTCTTGCAAGTTGTTTGAGAGATTGGGAATTTTATGCAAACATGCAATTTGTGTTTTAAGTGCAAGACAGATTAGAAAGATTCCAGAGTACTACATTGTTGATCGTTGGACAAAAGAGGCAACTAAAAGGACAATTTTTGATATGAATGTTAACCTCCTTGAAGATTGTAGAAAGATAAACATGGTAAGTAAGATGTTAGGGGAGTTGTGGTTAGAAATTTTAATAGTGTAGGCCTTGCAGAGAAATGAGGAAGGTTTGCAACTTCTTTTTAATACTCTTAGAGAGTTAGTAAGAATTTGGTAGAAAGAGGTACAAGTACTCAAGTGACAAAAACTCAGGAGATGGAGCTTTTTGTTGGCCCTAGTGCATCTTCTACTCTCAACATACAAAATCCTATACAATCAAAGAACAAAGGCAAAAGGCATAAAATAGTAGGAGAAAGGGAGAAGATAATTGAGCAGAGTGAGAAACCCAAATGGAACTATAAAGCATGCGGGGCTTATGATTATCATGATAGTCGCAACTGTCCAAATAAAAAAGTATCTTAAATATGGCAAACGTTTCTTACTCTCGATTCTCATATCTACAAACATGTTATTTTTGGGGTTTTTTGTTTAAATATTAATGTAAATTCTCAAAATATACTCTTTTTTTTAAATGTATGCAGGTTTGATGATTACCGGCTTATAATTATTTTTATGGAGACAAGAGTGACTTGCATGAAGAAAATCAAGCTAGCATAAGATATGAAGAATAAAAACAATGCGATGTTCATGTTCATGTTTTAGGATGAATTAACTCCTTATGTGGCTTATTAACTCTTTATTTATATTTAATTCTTGACTTATTGAATCTTTGAACAAGAGTGTTATTTTATAAATAGAAGAGTAGAATGCACATTTTATTTAAAAAATACGCACATTTGGTATAAAAGTAATGCATGTTTAGTACAAATAAAGTTTCTTGATGTATTAGGTAAAACATTCAGGTTACTGGTTTGTCTTTAACTTACATTCATAGAGAAAGTGATTGAGTTGAGGAGAAGAGTAGAACTTTTTGATTTGGGTGAGTAGAAATGGTAGGATTTTTAGTTGCATGATTTTAAGTGTGATTATTGTGAGGAAAAAATTGGTGGATGAAGAAGAAGATTTGAATTATTATATATATATATATATATATATATATATATATATATATATATATATATATATATATATATATATATATATATATATATATATCTTTTAAGATCAACTATTTAATAAGAGGTGAAAAGTGAGCATAAAGAATTTTCTTGTAGAGTATGATTTAATGGTTTAGTGAATATAAACCTAATTAAATTGATATCTTTCAATTCCCTTGCCTTTTATTTTTACTTTTTGGATATAATATTGTATGACTATGAACTAATATATAAGTAGAAAAAAATGTGATACTGAGTCAGAACGCAAATCCAATGCAAATTAAATCCGTAAAATATAAGTTTAACGCTGCCTGAAGTCAAGTCCGTCTTTTAATTTGATATATTGCAACCAAAGTTTCATAATAAGAAAGTTGATAAGAAAACATCAAAACAAAAGTACTCATTTCATGCACATACAAAACAAAGAACTCTTGTAAATCAAGGAACTCCTTTCTTACAATATAATAATATTTGCATTATATACATCTTCGGAGATATAAGATTCATTATGACATCTCATCATCTACCAAGGCAAAAGATCATGAACCATATTCATGTCAATATCGTCACTTTACTACACATCATATTCCCAGATCTATCAACAAAAAAAATAAGAGCATCACTAAGAACAAGCATTTTTTTGGCCTGAGTGGGTTGAATTTAATGCTCCAAAGATGGGAAGAGTGTGATAGGTTCACCTAGTGCTTCCTAATCTAAGATCAAATTCTAATATGCAGCTATCAGATATGAACAAACAAAATTCTGGAGATGCTATGAAAGTCTGAGTAGAGAAATAAAGCAATTGGTTTAAACAATGACAATTCTCTGATTCCTTCTCCGAGTCAATCTTGCTAGCTATTTCTTCGTCAAGTGTTCCCTTGCTTTTCTGATCACATACGTTCTCCTTGCATTCAGCTGACTAAGAAGAATTGTGCTGCAATATTTGGCTCTAAGAGATTGTAATGCTTGAACCTGCCAGAAGTTTATTGTGTTATAAAAAAAAGACATAAACTAAAAAGAATTGAACATGTAACATACAAAATAAAATGTTTTCTTACATTGTCTTTAGCTTTTTTTTAGAAGCCACACTCCCAATTGTCATCCTGCCCCAAGTATGTTTCCATATGCATGCCTTATTAGAAAAACCCCACAATCCTTTAAATTTGATCTGGATTTCCATGGAAGTTTTACTGTTTTTATCTTTTCAGACAATTTTCCAGCCTTTGGATGTTTGATGGTTAATAGAAAAACTTGAAAAGTAGTGTCCTTTAAGGAAAATAAATGAAAGTGAGCATTATAGAGAAACAATAACTAGATAGTATAACTACGATTGGATAAAAATTAACTTATTAGTATGGAAATGTGCAAACAATATAGATTACAAACTCACATTTGATATATAGCCTCTTACATTTAGATTAATATAAATGCACATTTAGTTTAATACATATGCACATTTACTTTATAAAAGATGAATATTCATTTTGAAATGCATGATTTCAATATGGTGGCCTGAATAGTCTGGTAATGGGTGGACTCAATACATTTAGTTCAATACATTTAGATTAATGTAATGCACATTTAGTTCAATACATATGTACATTTACTTTATGAAAAATGCATATTCATTTTGAAATGCATAATTTCAGTATGGTGGCGTGGACAGTCTGCCACAAGTGTTCTTGGTAATGGGTTGGGCTCAGCTACAAAAGTAATAACATATTCACAAAATGCAATGAACTAAAATGACACATCCACTCAATCAGTTTATTCAATATGGTCATTATTCAATAAAAATATGCACATTAAGTTAAAAAAAAAATTGCACATTATGCTTAAAAAAAATATGCACATTTATAAAAATTTTTTTTAGCAAATTACTAAAGTACATGTTACACCTCCTTCAAAATATTATTGCATGTTGCACTATGGATAATGAATAGGGAGCAGGGAGATTAGAGATTACCAAAATCTCATAAATAACTCCATATTTTTTCTGAAAAGAAGAATTTCAGGTAAAGATCTGTTATCAATGTAGTCTACTCGATCTTTCACAAAGTTGAAGCACACAAGGGAGAATTGTTTATCGTCGCAGATAGGAAAAAAAACCTGAATAAAATGATACGAAGTATTAAACAACTAATAATCAAGGAGAGCATATATAAATCCATATAAAGGAAATAAAACTATTGCGCAAAACAGAAATAAACTACTAGACTTCTAACTTACTAAATCAGCTTTTTCCAAAGAAGGACTTCTATATGTATACAGCTCATTTTGTAGCCTTGTGTGAAAGTTGGCGATTCTATTGGCATCCGTTACTTGACCAGTAGAATTGTGAAGTGTCAGAAAATACTGCAAAAAGAAATAAAATTTTTTAAACTGCACTTCATACAAAAAGTTTAAGATTAAAACACAACTACAAATGGAAAAAAGAAAACCTTACAGCTAATTTTGTAGAAAAGAACACTATATGAGGTTTGTTTTTTCCACGATACAAATTTTGTATATTTAAGATCAAACTCCAAATATCAATGACTGATGATGAAACGTCTTCATCAGTAGAAAGTGAATACATATCTTCCCGTGTTGCAAACATATTGTTATACATAAACAACTTTTCACTAAAAAAAAAAAAAAAAAAGTAAGCTTAGTATAAATCAAATGTATGACGAAGAAAAAAGATTGAAATATATTTCGATAGGAAGGAACTACATACCCTCTTGGCTCTTTCTAAAAAAAAAAAAAATAATAATCTGACACAATCCTTTCTTTTTCTCTTACATCACCTAACAAATCCCCATAACGTGTCCAATATGGAGGGAGAAGGTACTTTGAAAGATTTTTTACTGATCTTTTCACTCTCTCTCCAATGATTAATGCATAATCATCATCTCAATCGGAAATATCTCCAAAGACACTAATAAAAAATAAAATAAAACAAACATATAAGTGATTTCCTAATAACCTTATTTAAGTAATTTATCCGTAAAACAAATGATAAACATAGGATAATGAAAATAAGTAACATATTAATACCTTTCATCTATATCTCCACAGGGAGGTGTAGGAGGAGTAGGAGTTTGATTCAATCCCAAGGAAAAAGTAGGAGTAGCGATAGTGGAAAGACGTCTCTTATTATCAAGGGGAGGAGAGCTTTCTTTTTCTAATAAGAATTCATCCATTAATATCAGATCACCAGCACTTGTAGCACATGCTAACACCTCGTCCACAACATTCGTGACACTAGGTTGTTGCCAAAATTCATCATCTTGACTAAAAGAAGGATCAGATCAGATCTAGGTTCATTCATAGAAAATTTGCAACAACTTGAGCATTTATTAAATAAATCAGAAACGCACTTAAATGCTTCAGCTGCCTTTTCGGGCTTTTCATTCTGGAAAGCATTTGGTCCAACTTCTAATATTGCTTTACCTAACATGACGATTCCAGTTGAGATTGTCTTGAGAGAGGAGCATAATATATCCGACGCATTCTCCTCATAAATAAAAGAAATGTTCAAAAAAGGGATTATTCACCCATGCAAGAAGGGCATATCTAGTTGTGCATCAGTTTAAGGTTGAAGCTAACAGAAAGAAATCAAAACACATATGTAGTTGTTGCTTTTGTTATTAAGGAAGAGAGATAAAAAGGAGATGTGAGTTAGAGGGATCACAGTCATCACACGGTTGAACTCGATAACCTAAATAATCGATAATAAACATATATACATAATTAGCATGTGAGACAAGTAAGATACCTTTTCGAGATCCTCAATAAGACCTAAACGACCAGTAATATGACCTTTTCCAAACCCTTCTATCTCCTCTTCAGTTGCTCTCTTCTTCAAAATCTTACTTGTCCACCCACGGAGAATAGAAAATTTCCTCTCTACTTGCCCTGCCTTAAACTCAACTCTATCCACGTAACATAACTATTTAACAAAAAAATAGTAACAAAATCAATTAGCAGTGCAGCTAGAATGTATAATTTTGAATCTTAGTTGCTTATAAAAATAACTTCAAAATTAAAAAGTCCAAATATACCATAAAAGTCTTATTTAATTACCATGAGAAACAAGAGTGGACCTTTGAAATATCTCCCATCATTCTTCTTCCAATTCTCCACAGAAGACACAAGGCTAAAAAATGTGTACTCACACCAATCTAAATTCTTTATTTCTCTAACGTCCATTAAGGAGTACAATATTTTTTAGTTGCAAAAATAAAATTGTTGGTTTTCTTCTCAGAGACAACAGTGTTAAACCATCGGAGTTTGAATGATTTTACAAATTCTAAATAAGAATCATTTTTCTTTGATGGAGAAGCTTCTTCCACACGTGTCCCTTCACAATGAAAGCCTAAGGTACTGTGGACATCATCTTTAGATTTTGTCAAATTCCCTTTCTCCAAAACTAATGAATGACTACAATAATCAAATTTTTCCACAAGAAACCTCCCTAATCTTCTAGGGAGATCCATAACCTCCAAATCTAGAATACTTCCAAACCTAATATTTTTCACTGCATTTTTTTGTTCCATGCTCAACTTCAGCAACATTTTGTAAAAAATTCTTGGTGACATTTTACTAGGCAAGACATTTGCATCATTATCCCTTTTACTTGCTAGCTTCCTCTTTTTCTTCGTGTTAGTAGCTTTCAGTGTGTCATCATCACTCTCATCATTTTCAAGTTCATTATTATCTTCATTGTAACTATCATCATCCATGGTGATTTTGAAGGATTTGCAACACCGAATATAATACCTGAAAAAACCAAAAAGAAGCAAGGAGAGACACAAAATTAGTGGAATTATGCAAGAAATCAATTAGTATACAAATCATCAATGCTTAAATACATCACCCCATGTCATGAAAGTAGATTTCTATATCATAACTTCAATTAGAATATTTCATATTACATCTTGCATATTACATCCACTGACCACTGTACCCAAAATGAACACCTAGCAATTATTTACACTACTATAAGAAGAATGATACACCCTGCTAATCAATCTCAATAATTTGAATTGAACCTGCTGTAACAAGCAAGTTAACAGCACCCTCCTCGAGTACAGTACCCCAATTAACAAGATGCCACTTCTTTTAATCGTTAAATCAATAGCAAATCAAACAAAGGATATGCAAAGCTAAAATATTAATCTAACCTATTTAACTTCATCCAAGCTTATAATTAGTCACTAATACATTCAGTTCGGGTATTTAGGAAAATAGATCTTCTTTAAGCAGCTAAAAACAAGTCAAGTACTAGAGGAAATTGTAAATGACAGAGACAGAGATAAAGATTAAAGCTTATTTCAATTATTTAACCTAAATTTTCATCAAAAATTAATCATGGAACTAATAATTTTGACATGTTAAGGTTAAAATTTATAGCTAGTTAGAAACAATATGAGAAATTCAAACAAATCATTATCAAAAACAAACGTGAACAGCGTAATGAACAATTACAAATTGATTAGAAAATCAATGTATAAAATAACATAATTAACTTGTAGATTGGCAAATTTAAACAATAATTGCAACAAAAACAACAACAAAACTCAAAATCACAACCCTAAATTACACAATTGAAGAAAAAATCACTTACCAAATTATGAGCTCAAAAAGTGAACAATGAACAGATCGAGAATTCAAGGATAGAAGCACGAAAAAGGATGGAGAAAACAATTTGATGAGCAATTCAAAGATTTTTGATGGCAAAATCACTTGTTTGCAAATTACACAGTGAGAATGCTAGAATACGCTAGAACATGGAGAAGGAGAGGAGAGAGAAAGAGATAAAAAGAAGAACGTAGAACATGACAAATTTTACCCGGTTTTTTTTATGAAATCGTGGTCATTGATTAAAAAAAAAATTAACACGTCAGATTTCTTCTCACCCATCTTATTTTAAGACCCTTCTTATTTGACCTTAAAGTCTATATATATATAAATATATATGTATGTGTGAGAACCAAGTCCTATAATAGAAACTCATCTGAGCCATTGATTCATTTTATCTGACGGCTAAGATGTTGTCCGCCTTTTTGTTGAGTAATGGCATTTTGGTAAATATGTTGAACTAGCATAATGGCTACCCTAAACATCCCTTTTTCCATAATCACTTTCTCTCTCATCAATTCATTTTCTCTCTCCTCCTACAAACTCTCTCTTCTCCTATGATCTCTCTAATTTCTTCACGCACTCTCAATTTTGCAAATTTTCATCTTCTCATCTTCGTGCATCATTCTAGCAAGTTTATGGGCAAGTAAGTTATTCAGTTGTCATTAGTATTGCTTTCTATAATTTAATTCGATTTTGAAACCATTTTTTGCGATTTTGATTTCGAAACTAGGGTTTTCCCAATTATTTGTTTGAGTATTTTTAGTATCGATCAAGTTTAAAATTAGGGATTTTGCTATTTTTGTTTGGTTATTGTGTGTTTTCTCTTTGATTTATAATCAGATCAACATTTTGTGTTGTTTTTGTATCAATTTTAGGATCTATTGTTATTATTTGTAATTAACAACTCTTTTTATTTTAGTACTTCTAGAATTCATACTATACAAATATTGATGATTTATTGAAATTTAAATAAGTTCTTGCCTTAAAGTATTTAATGGTAGTAGGCTCTATTGTTGTGGCTTAGTTCGATTGTGAATTTAGATGATTTTGAGTTAAAATTGTAGAATGCATAAACTAATCTTATTAAAGAGCAGTGTTGGCCTTTATGTGCAAATACAGTTTGAGTTACATTGAAAAAAGTGTATGGTTCTAGTTCCATTAAACTCTTATTTATCTAACAATGATAACCAAATTAAATGCAGTAAGAATTTTTGGTGGTGTTGGCTCAAATAGTGCTACTTAGCAAAGCTGGGGTTTTCAACCCTCACATTCTTGCACCACTTATATATATTAAGCTTTGGATGAATGCAGAAGTAAGCAATAGAAAATTTATATCTCAATAAGATCACATTTGTGCACTGTATGTAATATCAAATAAAGCTTACATCTGTGTGCAACCTAAGAGGTGTAACAATGTTATGTATAGCCAAATCACTAATCTATTAATGATAATATAATCATCAGTATTTCTAAACGGATTTCAAGCCCCCAATGAATCAACATATTATAGGTGGCTATGAAGTGTAATATATTTAACTAAATATATATATCTTGCATGTTGAACTTGCAGTTACCTTTATTGTCAATGCAAACTGATTTACAAGCTTGGGATAGATTTATAAGCTTCATCTTTTATCCTAGTAACATGTTTGGTGATCATGAAGGCCATTTTGCCTAATATCTAACGTCTATAAAAAAATTTGATTTACTTTTGAGAACTTTTTCTTTACTTTTGAGTAATTTTTCTTTACTTTGATACACTTTGTTAAATCAAAGTGAGTTTTCCCTCTTAGCACTATCTAGTGAAAATCAGACGAATTTATGATGTTGAGTTGTTACTACTAATTCTTTGCATATTAAATTTTTGGGTTATTTGTCGTTTGTCTGGAGTACAAGCAATATCTCATAACCGATTTTATGGGCAACCAAGCAGACTTTTCAATATGGAGCAAGTGACTTTTGAGTTTCGACCTAGAAACGCAGCAGACCTTGGTCTAGTGTTTGATGCCTCTTACAGTGTTAGCAAAGACACACACACACACACATGTTACACTGATAGCAGACACACACACACACACACATGACAAGCAACCCAAAATTCTGTATGTATTGCTTGCACTACTATTTTAATCTTGAAACTGATTATTTTAGATAACTTTGTTCTTCTTGGCCAACACCGTGTAGAAGGAGAAAGTATGTAAACAAGCCAAATTCTGAGAGTAAGATTTGATAGCAAGTTCAAGAAGTTATCTAATTTTTTATTTACTTTTGAGATTTTTTTATTAACTTTTGAGTTATTTTCGTTTACTTCGAATGTTTAACCTATACAAGCCTACTAGCTCAATAGATAGAGCATTGTGCAAATGCACAAAAGATGTGGGTTCGAATCCCATGTAGGTTCTTTACTGTCCTCGTACGTCGAACTCAATATATTTGTTTCTTATAATTTGATTCAACTCTTAAGGATATGTAACTCAATGACTCGGAGTTTTTGTGCTATAACGAAGTTTCCTTAGTCATTTATCATTTCAAGATAATTTATTATTCGTATACTTTAGACCTAATTTGATTTACTTCAATGATATTTTGATTTACTTTTTAACGTTATTTATTTACTTTAAAGTAATTATGATTTACTTTTGACACATTTTTCTCTACTTCTGATTTTTTTTTGGAGTTTTTTTTTTTATTTATACTAGAGATATATTAATTTACATTTCTAGTTTTCTTACTTACTTTTGAAAGATTTTGATTTACTTTTGAGGTATTTTGAATAACTTTAGAAGTTTTATAATGAACTTTAACATAACCTATGTAGGAATCGAACCTACACCTCTATGCATCCGCATAGTGCTCTACCACTTGAGCTAATAGGTTTACCTTATAGTCTTTTTTATTCACTTTAAACTCTTTTTTATTTACTTTAGAGATCACTTAGGATTATGATCATTCTATGAAATTTGACAATTGCTAGTCGTCAAGACAAAAGGTTTAATGAAAACCTATGATTCAAATTCACAACAGATGCATCATCACACTTGAACTCCAGACATTGGCAGCCTTCCATGCATTCTTCTAGCAAGCATCATTCTCATTCTTGCAGCCAAGGATTCTGCCATGACAACAACCAAATCTGCATTCAATTATTGCCCCATAGCCATAATCTTCCCTCGTTCATCACTAATTACAACACCCAAGCCAGCCCCCCACCTTCGAACTCTACTAGATACACGTGGCACCCAAGAGCTCCAAGCAGCTACCCATTCAAACTCCTCCTTAGCTGCCCCAGATACCTATCAATGTGGTTTTAATAATCCCCAACAAGTCAAACAGACCTCATGACTACAATATCCCAATTCTGACATTACTCATTAAACACAACAGAGTTCCTATTAGACCACGCACCCCACACCGAAGACACAAATATCAAAAAGTCCTCATTAGTTTACTTTAAGAGATGATTAGTATACTTTAAGGGAGATTAGTTTACTTTTATGAAATTTATACATAATGAAATAAATTGTCTAAATGAAATGGACCTCAGATGGAACATTAATTGTGTTTGAGACTTTTAATCACCATTAACAGACAACATATATATGTGACCTCTCATAGGAATTTCATCAAACAGTTGACATGCAAAGTTACAAAATAAGAACTTCTTTTATACTAATAAAATTATTTAACAAAAAATCACTGCAACACAACAACAACAACAACAACAACAACAACAAAAAAAAAAAAAAACACAACAACAACAACAAAATTATAGAAAAATTTCAACTTCAAACACCTTCAATTACGCATAACCTCAATCTCTCGCAACCTCATTTTGAACAACTTCAAATTTTAGCAAAACTTAACCTGAAAACACTAAAATAAGTTAATAATTGCATAAAAAATAGTTCAAACATTATAATTTAAGACATCTCTGCAGTTTTACACAACTTCGAGCTACAAAATTCACTACAACAAACAAATATAATCACTAAATAAATCTGGAAAAATCGTTGATTTTAGACCTAAATTTTGCTAAATATTAATTATAAACATAAGAAATTGTAATCAATACCTTAATTAGACATCAATTTTGCAGATTCTTGTGAAGAAATTTCAACATCACACCGAGAAACTTCGAATTTGCATAAATTTTCGAATTCGCACAAGTTAAACCTAATTTAATTTGAATCGAAAATTGACACAAAATTAGATTCAAAATGCAGATTTCAAGACATAAATGATCTTTAGCAACATGAATTTCAAGGTTTCATGTTCAAGTAAGAAGAATTTGATCTTCATCGAGTGTAAAGAGGTGGTTGAACGTTTTTTATGGAGGAGAGAGAAAACGACCTCTCAGTTTTTTCAATTCGTGAACCAATTAATATGCCAGATTAAATCCCACCCGTCCATTTCTATTTAATCGAGCGGTCGGTATTAGTTCCTAGTTCCTATTATAAGATTAGTTCTAATTATAACTTATATATATATAAGTTATTAAGATATGAAAAATTAATTAAAATAATAATAGTAAAATTATTTATGCATTAACAAATTACGTGAAATTATTTAAAAAATAACAAATTATGTGTAACTACGTAAATATTATATTGCACATAGTTAGCTCATATAATTATGTGTATTGATACACTATTTAAAATTTGTATATTATTATTCTCATATTAAATAATTCAATTGAAGCCCTGATCCTCGTAAGATTTCTTGAATGATTTGTTGGGTTTTGCGGTGTCCGACACCGCGCGAAAACAAAACCCGATAACCGGATCGCATGCATAATAATTACAACATAAATAAAAGCATGCAAATAAACATAAACATAAGAGAAGAGAGAGAAAAAATTGTTCACCCTAGTAGCGTGCTTCGCTCAACCATTGAGCTCAGACTTGAAAGTTTCAAGTCCCTACCCCGAAGCTTAGTTGGGGATAGACCAAAAATAACTTAGAGTTTAAGAACAAAGGTTTTCTCGCTGTTGGAGATCCTTTAGAGTTCACCAACTCAAGTGAAATTCCCAATACCCAATGATGGGTATTTGTAGGGAAATCTCACCAAGAATTCCCATCATCTTTCAATGTGGGATAGTTGGTAAAAAGAAAAAATAAGATTTAATTTAATTCCAAATTAAATTAAAAAGCCAAAACAATCATTAAACGACAAGTGGCGCAAGGAGAGCAAAGGGGTAGGTGAGGACCACAAGGGGAGGACCACCTTCCCCTTGCTCCCCAAGCCACCCCTTCACAAAACGTGCAATAGGGTGGCGCCAAGTGGCAGCTCGCCTTGAGCACCAAGGCAGCCATGCTTGCGCCTGGTCTCTCGGCCGGGCCTACCAGCTAGGCCTTCCCGCACCAGCCCGTAACAGCAAGCCTCGTAAATGCGGGCTACTTTGTTGCTGGGCGCTGCTGCTGCTACGCACCAAGCTTAGTGCTAGCATGTGCCTGGTGCGCAAGCTGCTCGACATGCCAGCCCGCATGCATGCTCGGGCATGCTGCCACGCCTTGCTAGCAGGGTTGCTCGGCCAGCTTGCCCAGCCAATGCATGCGATGCATGCAGGGCTTGCAGCCAAGCATTGCCTTGCGGCAAGGTGCTCGGCTAGCTATGCTAGCCTACCTAGCCCTCGATTAGCTAGGCCACATCGAGGCTAGGATTTTCACGCGCGTTGACTTGTTGTTTGACTGATTTTTTCGTCTCGTGGACTCATGAATTCGACTCGACTTTCGACGCTCTGAGCTCGATATCCGACGTCTTAGTTCATAAAATCTCTATTGACTCATTTAATCCTTCGGATTAATTCATCACTTCGCTTCGGTTACACAATTGGGTGTGACCCGAAGGGTTCAGTCAAGGTTAAGTTGTAATATTAATTATTCATTAATATTACTGATCAGAAGCGGCCTCCAGCTAAGCATTCTGATCACTTGACCTCACTAAATAATTAGCTTTCTAATTAATTCTGAATCCTCTATCGGAATAATACACTTGTTCGAAGGACATCATTCCTTTTATGATTTTGCAGCGCATTTTGATTCGGTGGTAACGCATTTGATTTTTATGATGTTGCCCCAAAGTTTGGTTTCGATTCTAAGATCGAGTTCCACTTCCATGTTTTCTGAGAAGAAAATCAAAATTACTCTAATTGAGCAAATTTGGTAATTAGGATTCTTGAACAAATTTCAAGCACGGAACCGCATAGCTTGATTCTTCACACACGTCGCGTGTGTCACCTAAATTCGGAAAACAAATTGTTTTTTTTGAAGAAACCCTAAATTTTGAGGAAAATTTTTTGGAGCTATTATTTTAGGAATTTCATTATAGTGGATTTTCTATCGCGCGGTATAATGGTGAAGATATGTCAGTATGTCTACAATTGAGTACGTATCCAATACTTGTAAGACTAAAATAATACTCGTATGAATTAGCAACCTTGCCATTTTTGACTACTAATTTATCATACTTTTATTCTCAACAAATTAAATATTGTTACTCCGTATAAAATAAATTTTGTTTTTTTTATAATTATTATGATTATTACTCCGTATGTTTTTGTTACAATACAATATATTTATCAATACTTTTTTTTATTTAGAAAACCAGCACGAAATCTATTATTATTGTCCGCCATCATCATAAGACTGGGGAAAAGGTTCAACGCATACAAATTCGTCACATCCCCTAGTATCCCACATTGCCACGTGATGGGCTAAGGTATTCCCCACCCATTTTACATCAGAAAAAACAATCAATAATTACTTAATAACTAATTAACATACTGACTAATTAACATACTTGAATCACATCAAGATAGTGAATGTATATGGTTCTCTATAAAGAGATAACCCCCAAAAGATAAGGAACAAAATTACTTAAAATCAGAAATTTCACAAGCCAAACTAATTAATGTATTCATAGGATTAATGAATAACTATCATAATTATATACCCAAAAAAAAAATAAAAAAAATAACCAAAAAACCAAAAAAATAACAAAAAATGATCTGTCTATCCAATTACAATTGTTCAAAATAAAAACCTATGGCATCAACCGAGCCACGCATTACTTATTCTACTCCCTCCGTATTTTAATAAGTGTTACAGTTTGACTTTTTCCACTATTCACATAATGGTTTTGACTTGATTAATTTACTAATATATAAAAAACAAATGTTATTGTATAATACATTGTTGGATACGTTATAATGTATGCTTTCATAATATCAATTTTCCTATAATTTTATTAACATATGATTAAATAAATTAATGGTCAAAGTCATGTCTCAGCATGCGTGTTAGGTCAAACTGTAATATTTATTAAAACATGGAGGAAGTATTATTAAATAGCACGTGCATAGATTGTAAACCCTTGTTCCTTGAACAACACTATCTCTCTAAATACAGTAGAGCAAATAGGGTCGTTTGGTTGTGTTGGACGATTTATGTACACACTACGGTCTATGCTTGTTCTAATTATTATAAAATTCTATCTTCTCACCATACTTTTTTAAAATTACAAACCTTACGACATACCTCAGCTTGAATGCAGATTGATTATTGATTTTTGCCAAATAACTTAATTGAATTAGAATTCTCATTACAAATATTAAAAGTACATCTCTAACACAAATATATAATTATTACAGCATCAACTACATTAATAATAATCGATTCTTATGAATGAATCAATAACTAAGACCACGGATCGCGCGCGGTCAACTCTAACTAGTCATAATAAACATGATCAAAATTCTTTAAAATGCAATAATAACTTTTTCACTTTCTTTTTAGCAGATCGAAGCTAAGTAAATGGATAGATTAAGCAATTATTAACTACATACTCACATAAGTAGTAGACTTGAAGAAAATCAAACTTATTGTGTTCTGCAAACTTGTTCACTTCTAAATTTCTAATAACTAAACAAGATAACAAGAACACATCAACATCTAATTAACATACATGCTATGAGTTTAATTCAGTGCATGTACAAAACAGTAATAAACAAACATTATATCATACGACTATTATTTTATATTATAAAGTTGCATGTTTCTTGAGTTGAGTTGAGAAGAGGATGATGAGATTGTAGTTGCGGGTGTCCACAATTTAGCATTCTTGACTTTGGAAATGCTGGTCAAAACTCCTAATGGTGTCACATCTCCTACCACCGTCACCTTCTTTGCTGCGAAATCTATGTTGAAAGATGTCACACCTGCTCACGTTAATATTGTGGAGATTATCAATACCATCATCAAAAGGATACATTAATGATGATTATTGTACTATAGATAAGTTCATTATGCACAAATGCACCATCATACCACCCAAGTGTATATAGAGATGGCCAATGGGTTAAGTTATATTAGTTTAAGCACCAAGACTACTCGACTAGCAATCCTGGTTAATTGTCATCCAGTGGCAAACCCGGATTTTGAAGACAGGATGTGAGTATTATGTCCATGAGCAGGCCGGGACAAAGAAATTATTATACGGAGTACTATTTTACTTTTAATGAGTGTCGGTTAACACCTCATGCACCTTAGTGACTTTCCTACTGCTATCAACTAAGGCCCAATCAAGATTTGATCTAATATTGGTTGGGCCAAGTTTCCAAAATCTAATAAGCTAGGCCTTTTTAAATGAGTTTTACAAAAGAAATTGACAAAACAATAGGCTCAATCAGCCTAACTAGCCACCTTCAACTCCTGTATGTTTGGAACCTTCAGGCTGTTCCCAATCCCTCGGCCATTGTCTACTACGTATATATCTTGTGAACTGCTGCACTCATCTACTGTCCAATTTAAGGCCATGTTCTATTCATTTTTACAAAATTAATATTTAACATATAATATAACAACCGTTAACTATTAACTACGTAGTATTAAATATACTTCGTAGGTCTTTGTTTAAATAAATATAGTATGTAAAAATGGGTAATTTCATAAAATAAATACGAAGTACAACAATGATTTAGTACAAATAACTAATTAACAAAAAATCGATTTAAATACCCGGTGTACTTTGTAGTTTGTAAGCTTTAATTAGTACTGTAATTAAAATTGTGTCATCTAGTAGTAAAAAAGAACAGGAAAGTAATATGTACGATGAATATTATTTAAATCATCATTATGCAAATAGGTTGAGAGACCAAACACAATAACTAATTTCTCAGAATAGCATTTATGTGTTGGTCTTGATTGAGCTCAGAAAAACAGCAAGAGTGCTCTTAATATAGCAAGGCTATCATCAACTTTGGCCCACTGACATAGATTGCTTGACATGCATAGAAGGCCCACCTCTAGGGCCCAAACGACAAAAACATGTAAAAACAGCCGATTAATTATTTAATCTTAGACAACTAAAAGATGGAGAAAAAATGATAAGTGCTATTAACTTGTTGAAAACATTTCGCTCCCTATTAGTTACTCGTATGAAGTGGGTATGAATGAACGAACGAAGGAACGTACTCCATAGTAATTAAAGGAGATGCAATATGATGAAGAATAAGGTTACCTGGCATTCTAGAGAGATGCTTTTTCATTTTTCTCTCACAACCTCTGCAGTGTAATGACACCCTCAGAACCACCACCTGCAGAACATCAATAATCAATCTTTGTTTTAATGTCACCACCCACCAATTCTTATAGTACATCAAACATCATCATTGCTAACCAAGTACTATTTTTAACCTTTTCTTTCTAATATTGGAGTAGTATCTACAGTACTGACTCGTATTGTTCTATAACTTACAAATTACAAAAGCTGATGTATATGATTATTTTCAGTAAAACATTTGTTACTTTGACTAATTTTGTTTTAGTAATAAAGGTGTGTTTGTGTCTCAATCATACACTGCTTTTGACTTTGGTTGTGAATACCAGTATATGCTAACATTGGTAGAAATTTTAATACTTCCTTCGTTCACAAATCTTTTAAGTGAGATAACTGCCTTTTCTAAAATCAAAATTCAAAAATTTTAATTGTTTTTATTTTATTTTTTTGAAAGAACACAAACTTGCATGTTTATCGATGAATTAAAAAAAAAATAACCAAGCATATGAACTTTGATAAGTTTCCTATGTATTCTTATAATATCAATTTTTCATAATTTATACAATCGTAAAAATAAAAAAAATAAAAAAAAATCAAGTGTTTCTCTTATACATGAAACATGAACACAATAAATACGAGTATTATTATAAAGTGTTAAAATAGATCTCAAAAGTTAGATATAACGGTAGAATCACTCATATACAATAATTACAATTAATCTTTTAGTATCGCAATATATTTTAAGTATTGCGAGCAAAGCTACATCAACTCATTGGGTAACATTTAACCCTCTACTAATACAATATTAATCCATCAATAACCATGTTGATGAGTTGGATTCCACTATTAATATCTATCACAGTAGATACGAGTAGTTTTTTTCCAAATATTGCCGTTTAAACATTTAATTCAAAGGTAGCTCTTTCCATATATTTGGGGGCATTAAATTAAACCTTAAGTAGAACCTTGGCTTTGAATTTAGGACCTGGACTAAAGTGGTGTTTAACTTAAAAGAGTCATTTCATTCATTCTGTTACTATATAGACCTTGACTTTGGTACTGAAATTAATTACATAACCCCACGAGCGACAACTATAGACCAGACAAGTCAAATTGCCATCATCGTTTTTTTTATTTTTAAATTTTTGCTTTTTTTTTTCAGTAATTACATATTTACATTACCGTTGTGCATCAATTTTATCCTGCCATCCATACCAATAAATTCACTCTTGTAGTCTTGTACATCTTCTGAACTCAAATAAATAAAGACTCAAAACATAATCTAATCCAATTTAAATTTGAACAATATAATCTTACATGTCCTAATCTTCATAAAATTAACATTACTACATAGCACAAAGACAAACACTAAAACTTGAGTTTAAAACCTAAAGTATATATGTGTACAAAAGTTATTAGAGTCAAAGTATTCAACATATATTATACGTCACCTGGCCTTTTTTAAAAATTTCTAAACTTACTACTCCATATTAATTAACCATTGGATCAATAATAAATTACGTTTTAAGAAAGAAGTCACAAACCTGGTCCGATAATCCGGTTGAGGAAGGCGGTTTAGGAGGTTTAGAACCGGCCTCTGACTTAACAACCTCGACGTTGTTATGGTTGCAAGTATCATAAGGCTTAAGCTTCAAAACCGGGTCAAAATCAGATAACACTTCAAGAAAAGAAGTGTCATCCAAAAGATACCTAGATGATTCAGGAGGGCTAATATAATCTACACCAGGCTTAGTGTTGGCGCACGCCGCCGCCTTCAAGATAAGATCAGACGGCTTAGAGAAGCTCCTTCTACCACTCTTATTATGAACATCATCATCATCAATAATAATATTACTACTACTACAAACTGTTGGTTTTGTAGCATTAGTAACATTTTTCTTACTAGTCTTTTTTTTAGTTAATGTAGGAAGTTTGTTACCCTTTTTTTGTGGGGTATGACTTTGATGAGGTTTTGGGCTAATTGGTGTAGGAGGTTTTCTTTGTAGAACATGGTTAGTGCAAGGGGTTCCAATGGGAGTACTAGCACACGAACCGTTAGTACTACTAATTCCACTTCTTCTTTCGTCCGTGATGATAGGGTTGTGTCGATCGATTGCTCGGCTTCCAGGGGTGAACGACGAGGAGGAGGAGGAGGAGGAGGAGGACGAGGATGGTAGTATTACTTCCATGTTGGAAGAGATTATAGCTATTGATTCTTGTGAAGTACAAGATGATATGTTTATGTTTAAACCCTTCATAATTTTGATGCTAAAAAGGTGGTAATAAAAGTGTTTAGAACAAAGGAGGTGTAGTTTTTTAGGGGAATCAATATTATTACATGCATGAATAACTAATAGAGGCAAAAACAAGGAGAAAGAGCTAGGGAAGAATTTTAGGTGTTGGAATTCTTGGGAAGAGGAATATAGTTGTGGGTTGTTAGAAGTTTGAGTTAAGTGTAGAGTAAGCTATGCCTTTATGTTATGGAATAATTGGGGTGGGGGTGGAAATAGATGTGGTGTATGAATTGAATTGATTGACATCCATTATCATCACACTAATATGGACCACATAGCACCCTATTTTTCTCTCTCTCGAAGATATAGAAAATTATGGGATAGTTAAATTATACTTGTATGTATGTATGCATAATTGAAGATTATTAGAGGCTTAATTTCACTTTTTGTCGTTATTGAGAGTGAATGAAATGTAATGATGTGTTACAATCTTTTCACTATATTATTGTTGGAACACATGTTATATTTTATACTGAGTAATATATTAGTAAAATTATAGCTTTACTCCTGTAGAATAGAATCTAGCTACCTTCATATACGCTCTTTGATTTAGAGAGCATAAGAATTATGAAGATAGTAGTACAAAGTACATAAGAAATTATTTAAGCCTCATTTTCGTAGATAATTTAATTAAAGATCTTTTCTATACGATTTTTCAATCAATCTCTTCTAATTACGTTGCTACTCTCATATATTGCACCAAACCAAAATCTAATTTTCGTACTTAATAATATAACTACATGATAGGTTCGAACTATCTAACCATTCTCAAAATTGAAGAAAAGAAATAACACAATAAAGATTCCTCAAGGAATTGGATGCTCTAGGCAATTAAGCCATCAAAGAACAACACAACAATAAAATTGCATTGAGAATTTTCTTCTTTATTGAGGGCCTCCACAGAATAAGACACAAAGTAACTTTGTTGTCAAAGTTTAGCAATAACACATTTATGCTCTTCTACCAATCTATATCTATCTCTACCACCGCAAGTTCACTAGAATCAGATGCCAACAATTTTTTCTTTGGAATTTCCCTTAGCTTTTTCCTCCCACCACTTTACATCCAACCTTTGCACCATCCAAAGCTCCCACTAGCTTAGCTTCACCACTCAATTTATTCTCTCAATTTGGCCAAATTTTCTTAGACCATCGTAGTTAGTGGCATCATCGAGGTGTTGTACATAAAAACCTTACAAGTTTGCGTTGATTACCTCAACCCATCACGCAAAGTAACGCATGTTAAATTACCTGAGTCATGCTCGATCATGTTAAAATGGACCAAATTAAAACCGTGTTACGTTATACTAAGTCGTCTTAGGTCGACCATTGTGTTGAGTTGTACGTGCCTAGGAGAGCAAATCCCAATTATACTATTGTAGCATTTTGACTTTACAATGATGCAACCAATATTTAAGGTAGTGGAGCTTTCAAATTTGAGTGAAAGGTTAGAAGCTTCCTCTTAGAGTTGTGCATAAACCTAGGTTGTAAAATTGTTCTTTTTTCTTGACATTATGTAACACTTTTTTCCTTTTAAAATATATTCCTACCTTTAAAAATTGTTATGTTATGTAACTTTTAATTTGGGTATTTATTCCCGCTGCATGAGTTGTAACCATCACACAACCTAGATTTCTCTATCACAATCCTTCTGGTGCCCCTACTATATTTATCCACTGTACCCCTTCTTTTTCAGGCGCCCACACATTCGTCCACACTTCTATCTTACTCCCTTTGCCCCTATTTTTTTGCCCCATTACAAATAATTGGGTTTATAAGAAATTATATAGTCAAGTAAGGTCTTATTAGATTCGTACTATTAAATATTTATCTAACATCAAGTTTTTATAATTTTTAAGTGTATAAAAATAGAGTTACATACGTTTTAAGACGCGTCTTGGAGACCATAAAAAGTCAAATGAGGCAAAAAAAAAAAAAAAAAAAAAAAGAAAAATTGGAACAAAGGGAGTATAATATTTCATTGATGTGGTTATTTTTTTTTTGGTGTATTATCATCATTATTTGGTAGGCTTTTATACAAATATAGGATATTAGTATAAGCATTAACTCAAAGCTACTGATTCTTAACAGCATATAGACGAAGTTTCTTCTAAGCTAGGTTCAGAACGTCGTGAGACAGTTCGGTCCATTTCTGGTGTGGGCGTTAGTATGCAATTTTGAATACCGCCTTCTAAACTTTATCGGTAGAACCAGTTGCATGTACAATTACTCACATATCTCACATGACACATTCAACTTGATGTCTTATTCTATGATATGTAATGGTCAATTTTTTAGTATGTAAAACCGTCACGCCATTTAAAAAGCTATCGGATATCAACTTAAGATAATTGTTCAATTATGAACACCGATTAATGTTAAGCTCAAACATCCTAAGCACACGTGTTACTCGTTTCATTTTTCCAATCAAAATCACTCCAATTTGAGTAATATCGATGAGTTCAATTAATTAGATTGGCTATTGATATCACGAAATTATGTATGAAAATAATAATAATATACAATATAATATACTTTGTAATAAACTAATAATTATAAGCCCAAAGAAATGAAATTAGTAGTCAATTCAATTAAAAGGAAATAGAATTCATTCTTTATCCTATTACTCCTCGACTCCTCGTATATGACTGAGTATTGGCAAGGTTTTTATTGTACACTCGCATCTACACATGCTTGTATGACAACCGATGTACACTTGCTATTTGCGTCCATTTTTTGTATGTGTATGCCTATTGCATGTCCATGAGATGCTCTCCAAACTTGAGCAATACACACATTGGCACATGACATGTAGGCACATCTAAAATAAACACCAATTGTTTCATCTTTAATTTTTGTGATAAGTGTACCAAAATTTAAATATGACAAGATGTGGCGATGGACTTTGCCATGTTTTGAGAAGGAAAAAAAATATTATAACATGTATTTTGGTGTGTACTAAATATGTATAGAACTCAAATTTACCTTTTTAAAGTCACACCTTGATTATTATTAATCTCACAATTGTTAGGGTATGAGCACGTAACGAAAGTGTAAATAAATCGAGAAATTATAAAGATAAAATACAACATAGGCAATATAAAAGGAACACAATATTTAACGTGGGAAAAATCCTCTTAATAGAGGTAAAAAAAAAACTCACGACGACGAGCACTAAAAATAATTCCACTATAATAAAATATGAGAGTACAAAAAAACCCCAAATTATATAGGGTGATTAGGATACAATCAATAACTATCAACAGAAACTCTTAAAAGAGTTAAAAAATAAAAAATAAAATAATAAATAAATAAATAAATAAATAAAAAATAGTAGAATAACTTACAAAGAGGAGATAAATTTTGGGAGGCTAATATTTTTGTGAGTAAATGTGGTTGACTTTTTGTGGTTGCCCAAATCATGCCCAGCATCATTTATATTAGGGCTGTACAAAACTATCCAAGAATCTGAAAATTCGATAAACCGATCCGCAACTAATTCGAATTTTTTGGATATCCGATCCGAGTTTTCATTTCGGATCGGATTTCGGATCCGAAAAGGCAGATATCAAATGCGGATTTGGATATTGATTTTCAAAATTTCAGATATCCAATATCCGAAATATAAAAGCTAAAATAGTGAAATATATATAAATTTTTTAAATTATTCATATAAAACTGACCCTGTATTATTAACTTATTATAATATTCTTAGTATATTTAATGATAATTTTTATTACAAAAAGACTACTATTTTGTTAAAATATGTTGTACAACTTAAAGATAAAAAAGCGGTAGAATTAGTGAAATTTGAAAAGTAATCATAATCAATTTTACTTAATATTGGATAATGCGGATCTCTGAAATTTTCGGATCGGATTTGAAAATCAGTTGATATACTCGGATATACAATCCAAAATTACATTTCAAATCGGATATCCGATCCGTGAACAGGCCTAATCTATATATACTCGTACTAGTTAAATGAAGTCTTGATAAGCTTCTAGAATAGTGGAGATTAACCTATCAAACATTCTAAGCTTATGTATTTGCCGCCATAAGCATGCTCCTTCAATCTCTAGATTTTACTAAGTAATTTCTAGAGAAGTCTTTGATTGGGTCAAAGATTTAGGCCAAATGAAATTTTGAGCCACATCTAACACAAATGTTGTTTCTTTTAAGTTCATACAAAAAATTAACTAACTTTAAGCTCCAAATTAAACCCAGGGATAATTTGTAGCGGTATATTGTGAAAGAGATGATCAGACGTCCTTGTTTCTCATTACATATGCAATGTCATTCCATTTTTTCCAGGATGTACAATAAAGGACCTATATTCTAACCATTCTTTCGACTATCTAGTTGCTCAAAACGAACCAGCCTTCTAAACTCTGATTTCGTGCACCCTATATAAGTGGGTGATTTTGTTCTAAACATTCTTGTTAGATCCATTCTCTATACACTGACTTTACAATTCTTCTAGAGTTAATATATCACAATCTCTCTACATGATCATTGGTTTTTGCCGTGTTTTGCTGAATTGTACATCACCACTGAGGACCGAGCCAATGAACTTCTCAGCTTCTTCCTCATTCAGATCCCCAGTATACGCTGCATACCTCCCTTTCCGAGGTTTGTATGCCACCAAGAAGCTATTTGACGACCTGAATCCAGATTTATCAAAAGCCTCCAAGAAAGACTGCTGCTTCTTTGCATCTACCATTGCGTAGGAGATGGAATCTTTGGATTCAGATGACAGATTTCTTCTCCTTGATAATGATTTCTGTGAAACCTGGAACCCCATGTAAAGTTATAAACACAGTTAGCTGATCAAGTCATGCAGAGTTGCAGACTATTAAATGGAACTTTTCCGGTACAGGTACAAAATGGAACAGTATGATGAAGCAGGTACAAAATGGAACTTTTCTGGCCAAACCACGCTAGAGTCATGCTGACAATAAAAATGAATACAGTAATTTCTAATACACACAATCCAAATCAGGAAGGCAGACAAAAATTCAGATATCTGATTATTTTTTTATAATCGGATAAATTGCTGGCTAGTAACAATACAAAAAATAAAAATTAAATTTAAAAAAAAAAAAAAAAAAAAAAAAAAAATCCCTATTCTAAAGATAATAGTTAAGCACAGGAATCAGGATCAGGTACACTCTAATTTGATTTTCAACTTAAATTCTAAACTAATTATCAGATATGGAGTATTAGATATCCTCCAGTTCACAGCTAACTTTAGTACTCTCTTCAAATCAAAATATGAATTGATAAAGAAAGGGGAAGGAAAAGAAGGGGAGGGAAAGGGAAGGGAAAAGATGGTGAGTTTTCCTTCCAAATCTCTCCATTGTTGGAGGGATCAATTTCCTACTATTTAATCCCTCTATTTCTCTCCCCTCCAATTCCCTTCCTCCCTCATTTGTTATCCAAATG